CTAAAAGAATTTTTATAATTTTCAAAAATTAGGTCTTTCACCTCTCAACTTTTTCCCTATTTTTTCTGAAAATATTTAAAAATTTTAACTTTTAAAAAGGATCTTAAATTTTAAAAAATTGTTGTCGTTTTACTTTTTAAAAATATTTTTGAAAATTTTCAAGAATTAATGTTTGAGAATTATTTTTTTCTTAAACTCGGTCCAACAATCAGAACTACTAAACATGTTGATCTGTCATCCAAGTGCTATTATAGATAGTGGGAAGATTTTCAGTTAATTACACAGATGATAACTTATGTTTGTGTTTTTCACTTTTGATCGTTGATTTCAAAAAATATAGAAGATATAATTAACTTCGTTTTTATTTAATTAAGATATTATCAGTTTTGTTTTTTGTTTTTATAGTCTTTTAGAAAGATCTCTAGAAGCAAAATCTAATTATCCAAAAGTCATTAATTAAAATATACTTAAATTAATTTTAATTCATAATTAAATAAATTAACTCTATGATAAAATTAATGTTAATACAAATAGGAGATATAATTTTAGAATATGTGAATACTTTGCAATAAATAAATGATATTTTCAGTAAACCATTAGATGATAAAAAATTTTGAACACTTGAAAGAAAATCATGTCTCACAAACTTACATTGATTTTATGTTAATATACTTCTCTAAACTTTTATGTTTATAAAATGTTTTATAGCATGAAATTCATTGAAAAATATGTTATAACTAATCTTAATGTCAAATTTTTTTCATGTTTTAAATTTTAACCATCATAACACTTTATATGTTGAAAAAAATAGTTTTTGTATAAAAAGAATAGTGATTTTTTAATGTTTGATTATGTTTTTGTTAATGTAGATAGAGTTTTAATAATTTTTATACATTATAAATGTGCTCATCAATTATTTACATTCACTGTCAACGAGTGTTGGTACAAGTGGTTAAGATTCAGGAATTTGAGCTTGTAAGACCAAGTTTGAATCCTACCACCGTTACTTTTTGTGGGCAATCTGTAAATTCCTATGTCAATATCAATTGGGTCTTAGGTATACCCTGACCTTAGACTGGGGGAGCCACCCTTGACCTAAACTTTTTACCATATGTACCAAAACAATTATTTACATTCACTTAGACATATTTCAATGGGCCCAAGAAATGTTTTCCTGTAACACCCTAAACCCAATTGGGCCTGAAGTGTCACATTGGGCTACCGAAGCAACTCTTGATTTTCGAAACATGTTCATTTTCTTCATTTTTTTCAAATCTACTGAATGATATCATATTTAAAACATAAATAATTGTATTAAAACATTTTACAAATCAGAGCTCCGTGACACATAATTTAAAACCAAAATAATACAGACTCTGAGTTTAAATAACTGAATACATGAGTGAGGTTCTATGAATACATACCCACTAAGCTATGGTACAATACTCTGAAGGAGATGCTGGAAGTCCTGTTGTGATGGTACTCCACGAACTGCTCATACTACTAACCTGCCAACGGAAAACATCTTAAAGTTGTGCTTACAAAGCCCAATAGTATAATCGCTAATCTAGAGCATCATAAGAAATTCATAAACTCAAGCATGTTGAAGACCTGATAATAAATAGTAGGTATATGCATGATCTAGATCAAGTGCTACCTACCTAAGGCTTAGTTGTTTTATCTTTGAAGTAGGGTCTCTACCTTGATGTATGGATCTGCTATGCATTATCTAAATGTGATACTGGCTCTATTTTGCATTATATAAATGCAAGATTGACTCTGTTGTGTATTTTTTGAATGCAAGAATGAGTTTGTCGTGGCTCATACACTAACTGAGGTAGTCATCATGATGTGGCCGAGGGATTCTGTATCTAGGAGCTCACACACCCCTCTATCATATCACATACTAATATATGATACACAACAACAAACAATAATCAGTGACGGGCACCATGGTACGGCTGAGGGATCTTGCATCTCGAAGCTCACACACCTCTTTGGCATGTCTGTATACCCTAAGTACACTTGGGGTGAGATTCGAAATTCTTTCATCGAAAACGTATACCCGCCAACCACTCCATCGAGTCTTGGGGCATCTGGCGCCCAGTCGGCAAAGAAGTGCCATAGCAATGATTGTGATATCCACTGTCTGATAAACAAGACAATCGCCTTACTGCTAAAGTAACTCAAGTGTCCTTGTTGTTTCCTGAGTGTCATACAAAGGCTAGTTTTATGACATCTTAACCGTTACTGTTTCTAGATGTTACTATTTCTAGCTAGTATGAGTTATTACTGACAATCCGTACTTATATGTTATACGCTACTTAAGGGTATTTTAGTCATTCTCTAACTCTGGGGAAGTCTTTACGCGATTCGAGACTTCACAATGATTTTTGTGTTTATTGCTTACTGGATAGGGTTCTGTCTATCCCGGTATCTGACCTGGGTTTATTTCTGAGTAATAATACTCTATTCGCTAATCCTACGTTTTCCCTCAATTCACCCTCGAATTAAAGGAATAAATGTACATCCAACACTCTCAGTCATTTTTGCGGTATACGACACTATTTTATAATAATCTAAATTCTTGGTTGTACCTCTTATCTATACATTCTACGCACTAATACTTCATCCATATATGTTTGTTACATGCTTACTAATGCGTTACGTCTGTTATGGTTATTCTACTTGTAATCCGCTCATCTAAGTGTTCTTGGGCCCTTTTTAGCCATTTACGACCCTCACATACTAAATTCCATCCTTACGGGTCATACTTAGCTCTTATGGATCTTAATCAGGTCAAATTTATTCTTCCAAGATGAGTAGTATCGATACTCTATCTATAGTATCGATACCCTAGGGTTAAGTATCGATACCCCTATCCAAAACTGCGTTATGCTGCTGAAAATATAGCCCAGTCTCGAGACCATCACTCTCGGTCTTGAGACTTAACATGCAATATCGATACCCTCACTGCAGTATCGATACACTTTGCATGGGAACTCTAATTCCCCCCCCCCCAAAACACCCAGTCTTGATACTACTCAACCGGTCTCGATACTGAAACTCCAGAATGGTTATTTTAGGCTCGAGAAAACACCTAAAATCATCCTAAACGTCTTGTGTTGGTTCCTAAACTTGATTTTAAGATTTAGTAAGTTATTTAGGGTCTTAAGATGTCTTAAAAACACAATTTTAACACCTAAAACATGATTTGATATTGAAATCAAGTTTAAACACTAATATGCTCAACTACTCAAATATTTAGCAAAAACTTGTCATTTATGGAATCTAAATACTCCAAAGGATCAGAAAAACACTACATTGCTGATTGAATCTCGAAATTGAGCTCTTTTAGCTAGAAATCATCCCCTACCATGGCTTGGATGATAAAACCCTCAATTTTCTCTTGCAAACAAAGAACTCGTGGCTTGAATGGTTAAATCCATGTTGCTTGAGGGGTTAAGAATGATAATAAAACTTGAAATGGGCTCAAGAGCTTACCTTTGCTAAGAAACTTGGAGAGGATGGAGGAAGAAAAAAATGAGAAGTTATGAAAATGAAGAGAAAATGGAGATGGAAATGATAAAAAGTCTTCATCTTTCTAAAATGGGAAAATTACACTAAAGGTCTTAACACATATTTATGAAATTCACAAATCACTTTTTTATGGTTAATTGGGCTCAACTCTAACTCAATTAAGCCTAATGATTTGAATTATAAATTTTGTAGGGTCCACATACCTCTTGGGTAGACCCGAAACTACTAGCCTGAAATTTGAGATGTTACATTTCCAACACTTCTTTTTAATCATTTTATATAGTTTCGATGTTCTTCTAGTATTGATACCGCTAATTCAACATCGATATTATTTCATGAGTATTAATACTATAGCCACTCCTGTTCGAGTGGACGATTGAACGAGCAGGAGATGCCACATACTAACATCGGAATGATATCAACTTTAATTAAAAATTAAAAACGAGTAAAAGATAACTTCATTCATAAATACAAGGATCAACTTACTTATTTAATAAACATGCAAGGACCTTTGAGCAATTAGAACCTAAATACTACAATTTATTATCAAAGAAAACAATTTCAAGATCGAGGTATCGATAGCTTATCATTTGATATCAATACTAAAAGTTAAATATCTATACATTACGTGGGAATCGATATGACTTCTAACTTCAAACTTTAGGAGAAGAGAAATCAAAACAATAATAATAATAATATGTATCAATATTCTTACCAGAAGTATTGGCGGAAGTCTCACGTGCGGCAGCTTAATATAGGGTTAAAGAAAGATGTTACCGGAAATGTTATTATTTTTTTAACATTTCCGGTAAAAAAATTACCTAAAATATTATTATTTCTACCGGAAATGTTATTATTGGACGCTTTACCGGATTTGTTAACATATTTAATAAAGCGCTACCTAAAACATTATTATTTTTCTATCGGAAATGTTAATATTGGGCATTTTACCGAAAATGTTAAAAACATTAATGTTTTAGGTAAAAAAATAATATTTTAGGTAATTTTTTTTACCAAAAACGTTAAAAAATAATAACATTTCTGATAGAACATTTCCATAACCATATCTTAAGGCTGTCGTACCGTAGAACTTCCTGAAGTATTGCATAGGTATTAATATTACTTTTTACTTTAGAAGTTTCTAAACTTATCCAAATGGCATCTAGACTCGGCTACACCAATTAGAGCACTTTAAAAACATTAAAATGTACGTGAAAATTTATCCAATTCATGCATTTACATCATGCAAACGTATTTACTCAGACCCAGGATCTTTAAGGAGAAGAACATTCTCTTCAATCACCGAGATCACTCGATGGGTTTAATTGTTAAATATTTTTATTATATCATATTATATTTTAATTATTATTTGTGTATTGTGTGTCCAAAATTATGCCATCTATGAGGTAAACATTGAAGATGAAGAGCAAATGATTAGGAGAGAAATTTTCACAATGCGGTAGCAAGTCATAGTCCCTGATATAGAAAACTACACTCAGTTACATTGAGTTCTGTTTTCTTAAGCTAAATGCCTAACCAAATAACCCAATAAACGTATATCCCTACAGCTAACACTCAATTATCCAGAGAGCAAGGTAATGAATATTGTCATGCTGCTGCTAACAAGTATCAAAACCCAACCTCGGCTCGTCCGGTAAACCTTATCGGATGGATTGGTCGACGATCCCAAAACCGCCATGACTCGGCTCGAAACTAACTTGACAACCGAAATGCATACAAAGAAAAGACTTAAGACTAATATTACAAGTTCTTTAGTCTCCAAACTTGCTTGATCTTTCACAACCTTTTCAATATCCAACCTGTTGAGGAAATAGATGAGCAAAGAAAGGAAGATGAGTGTCGCACCAAGTTGCATAGCAAGTAAAACTTCATGATAAAAACTCTTAACAAAAGCTAAATAATATATATATATAGAGTGAGAGAGGTATAATGACAAAATTACCGGCAATGTTTATATAAATGGTCATTATAGTCCCTACTCTATTTTTTTAGAGCATTTTAATCCCAACACATGTTATTGATGTGTCGTTTTTCACATGTGCTTATTTGGTAACATAACACATGTCACATCATCATTGTGGGTGACGTGGAACATGGCACGTAGTCACTATAGATGACCTGACACATGCCATGTCATCACTTTAGGTGATGTGGCATACGCCATATTAGTAAGCAACATGGGTTGATTGTTACTCAACTAATAGCTTCCTTCCAACATGAGATATTTTGACCAAAAGTTGAAATGTTATAGGTTAAAATAGGGTTGTAAACGAGCCGAGTCAATCTCCAGTATTGCTGAGCTCAACTCGACTCGAAAACTCGCAAGCTTAAAATTTGTAAGCTCAACTCGAACTCGAAACTATGAATTGAAGCCCGTAACAGCTCGAAATGAAAAAAAAAAATCTTTAACTTAACTCGATTGAATCGTTAAACTTAAACTCGAACTTGAATCTTAAATACATGAAAATCTTATATTGCATTTTTTTTAAAAAAATCAACAAATAAAGATTAATATTATTAATAATTTATATTTTTTTTAAATAAAATCTTAATATATTATATTTTCGAGTTGCTCACGAGCTTTTCGAGTCGAGTATCAAGTAGCTCGTTAAGAACTCGAGATGAGATCGAGCTCGAGTTTATTCGAGTCGAGTATTTTCGAGTTTTGACCAAGTTGATCTCGAGTAGCTCACGATCTATCTCATCTCTTTTACAGCCCTAGGTTAAAATACTAAAAAAAGAATATTGGTCAAAATAACCATTTGAGCAAAATGTTGAGGGTAATTTTGTTATTATGTATATATACATATATATCCATGATATATAGGAGATGTCTGACCTTAACATCATGTTTTCTCTAACCAATGCGTCTATACTTGAAGAGACAACAGCTTTCCATGATTGAAGGTCTGCAAATTCTCTTTCCTGTAAGATAATCAACTGGTCATATATAAGAAAGGCACCAATGGTACCAAAGATGGTAAAGAAGAAACATAATTTTACAGTACCATTGCCTCTTTCCAACGCATAAGATCTTTGATTTCCGTTTTGCTTTTCTCCAAAAGTAGAGAAATTCTTGACAACTCTGAATTGATCTCTGGTAACACATCAGCTTCTCTTCGGTTCAACTCTTTGATGTACTCTTCCAAAACAGACAAGTTCAAATCAAGAGACCTTACTTTCTGCATCAAAATCTTCAACACAGTGTCACTTGGTATCCTTCCAACAGGCAGTTGTTTGATTTCAGTCAAAGGATCAGGAATCCTTCGACTAGTTTCGTTGAATTTTTTAACATCCTCAGCATTTTCTGTCCTTGAAGTAGCGGTTTGAGCCTCATCGTTTCTTTTACCATCATGGGAACTAGCAACTGGTTTTGCACAAGGCCCTGTTGAGTTAGAATCCGCCAGCTTCATGGCATGTTGTTCGGACGGAACAAACAGATCCTCCAGCATCCTCTCGATCGCATCGACGCCGTATACCTCGACGGCACTCAGAGTGCAGTAAAACTCCGAACCGTAATGACTTAGCAGATTTAGCTTCAGATACCTCAGCCATTTTGGTTCAGAGAGTGTAAAGGTTTGGATTTGCTTGACATTTGCTGCAACAAACTTCCCTAATGGGGACCATGTATCAGTTGGATAATTCATGCTACCATACAGCTCGAATTCCTTGAAGTTCGAAGAATGGTGTTCGAAATTCGCGATTTTGACGGCATCAACCAGAGTCTCTTCAGCTAGTTCAATCACAACAAACTTGCCTTCCACGGTACAAGGATTTCTCAGATACTGATCATGATCTTTTCCCAGAATGTTGTTTGCTCCTTTTGCTTCTTTGTTATGTGCAACCACTTTAGCGCCTTTTAAGGCAGAAGCATAATTGTACTCCGAACCGTCGGATTCTAGACGATGAGTGATCTTAAACGTACCAGGAGGATCGCCCTCTTTCGCTCGCATAGTTATGTTCCGGAATTCATCTAACTTGATATAAGCCGAAGGGGCTTTCAGATTAGGTTGCTCCAATTGTTGTCTTGCATCATGCTCCTCTTGTTCAACGATGTCGCAACTAAAGGCAGTGTACCCCAAAACTTTGAGGATCACCTCATCAAGCCTACTTGTTTTGCAAAAGGAGTACTCATACTTGACAAAGTTCTTGTAAACAGTGGTGTTATTATAACTCACCGACTTATTCATCTCTAAAAGCATTCCATTGGTGCAGTTATCTTCTCTATCTGCATCATCGCACAGCATTCCATGGCCAACACTTGGAGAACATGCGGTTTGGTTCTCAGGATGTGAATTTCCTGAACAAGATACAACCATGTCAATGCCCCAAATTTGTGCCAGTGTTCAAGCAAATAATGTTGTTTTCTTTGCCCCAAATTTTCTACTTAAAGAATCAAGAACAGACTGTGTAAATGACCAAAGAAAATGGTGTGCACTGCCCAAGCATGATTTGTGGGCAAAATCAGCTAATTATTGTAGTGGGAGAATATTTTCCCAGATATTGCATCCCCGAAATTATTCTCTCAAATAGAGTGATTTGAACTTTAACAAATGGAAGACGCATGAAGCAGTGGACGTCATCTACATGACTTGGGGAAGGCATAGGCGTGCACCTATCATGAGAGTATGGGGAAGACACCAGATCTTTCATGCGTTTTTTTTAATAAGACGTTGGATATTCCATGCGACTTTCAGTGTACATTGTAGAGACCACCATTTAAGAAAATAAATAGGAAATAAATTAAACCTTTTTTAAAGCTAATTAGCTCCATTATTGCACTTCGCAAGCAACAAATTAAACCTTTTTTAAAGCTTCGAATTTCAGGAGCAAACCAGAAATGAAATCTTGAACAAATACCTGGAATTATAACTTTAAATATACAGAAAAGGGAATGATTTAAGCAGAGCAAGGAGAAGGAAAGGGGAAGAATCAGTGTTCATTTTACCTCCATTTTCATGGCTATGACCGAGCCGAAAGTAGAACAAGAAACTGAGGCACCAAAGAGAGATGATGAGAGACAAGGAGAGTTCGTAGATGCTCTTTGCATTCATAAATCTGTTGTTCTTGATGGCGTCTCTGTTCGTTTTGACGGCCTCGTTCCTGCCATTGTTGCATTCGTTTCGACATGTCACGTACACAATCGAATGCCCATTTCTTGGTTTCTTCATGTCTCATCCGTGATACCAAACCGGAGAGAATTAATGAGAGAAAAATGGGATTTTTTTTCCTTCGAGAGAAAGAAATGAAGGGAAAGCTATGATTTTTTCCCCAGAATTTGGAGTGGAGAGAACAAGAAAAGTTGGGAAATACCGAATATTTTAAAGGGAGATTTTTTCTTATTTAATTTGCGGGCTAAATTAGTTTGATCGAACCCAAAGGTAGCGGAAACCAATTTTCAGCCATCTAAAGCTGAAGACGCCTTCCACAGTTTTACTTTATTCCTTTAACTAATAATAACACGAATAATTCTACAATGATCGACGAGCAACGAGCAACGGTAAATATCATTAACTACGAATATTATTAATTTAATTTATAAAATTTTAAATTTTAAAAAACTCAACTTATAATTATAAATTTGTTAAAAATTTAAAAATATTTTATTTAAAACAAAAGGTAAATTATATCAGTGGCCACTTAATTATTGTCTATTTTTATTTTGACTAATATTTTTGAAATTTATCAATCAAGTCGTTGAACTATTTAAATGCATTCAATTAAGTCACTTGCCGTTAATATTTAACGGAGAAGTTGATATGGCAGTTAAAATCTGTTACTTATATATTCTATCAATTTGCTCCTAATTTTAATAAATGTTAACAAATGTGTTACGAATAAAATATATATGGATGCACACGTCATTACATATGGCGTCATTTGGCTTCAGGGTTAAGTTTATTTCAATTTATTAAAATTAGGACCGAATAGATAGAATATATAAGTAACAATGACAAATGTGTAATTATACCAAAAATTTTAACTACCACATCAGCTTCTTCGTTAAATATTAACGGCAAGTGACTTAATTGAATGCATTTAAATAGTTGAGTGGCATGATTGACAATATTTCAAAAATATTTGTCAAAATGAAAAGGTGCAATCGTTAGGTGGCTACTGGTATAGTTTACCCATTATTTTAAATAATTTATCTTTAAATTTTTAAATAATTTATATTTATACGTCGAGTCTATTAGAATTTAAATTTTTATAAATTAAATTAATGGTGCTCGTCGTTAGTAGTACTCATCGTTGCTCGTCGAGCGTAGAAGAATCATCTTAGTAACAATTAATTTTTAATCAATAAAGGATGTATAATGAAATTATGTGTAAAGTGCACAAATGGTCCTCAATTACATGGTATTGCTTTTTAATCCCCTGGCTATTAAAAGTTACAAAATGGTCCCATTACAAAAGATATTGCTATTTAGTCACCCGACTATTGATTCTAAACTTATTCTTTTCATTAAAAAATTGATGATAATCTAAGTTAGATGCTAATATGTTGATTGAGATATGATAAAATCTGATCCCAGAATCTCAAATGGCTATCATATCCTAGTTAGTATGTTAACATCCAGCTAAGACGATTGTCAATTTTTTAACAGAAAATGAAAATTTTAGAATATGTAAATAGTTGGATAACTATTTTATAACTTTTAATAGTCGGAGACTAAAAAAAGCAGTACCCTATAGTTGGAGAACCATTTCATAACTTTTAATAGTCGAGAGACTCAATAAAGTAATGTCCTATAATCGAGAGACTATTTTTTGTATTTTCCATAAAATTATAAAATAGAATAAATGAAATTAAAATATATTAATGTTTGTTTTTTAAGATATTAATATAAATTAATCGTTAAAGAATTGAATAGAATTATATTAAAAATCAATTAAATAATTTAATAAAATAATAAATCAAATAATACTATTTACTACGGTAGATAAACATATTTTATGAAAATAACCAAAAAAAATACATATATAGTAATAATGATACGCTAAAATATTGAATTTATCATATTTTATTGTTAGCCGCTTTATTTTTCCTCCTTCCTTTACTTTTTTTTCTTTACAATTTTATGATAAATCCAATTTTTTCTTCTTTAATTTTATTTAATCGATAGTGATATCGATTTTGATGTTGGTTACCGTCCGTCGTTTATTTTTTCTTTGTTTTTTAATTTAATAAGAATAATTATATCTTTGTGACATGTTCTCTATCTTTATGGCATGTTTATCTCTATCTTTGTGATACGTTTTTCTGCATTTTAATAGCTTATGGTTTTTTACCCTTTTTTCATTTATCTTTTTTTCACAGGGTTAGATTTGACATCGCCACGACTGATTAAGATGTTGTTTATTTGTTATCATGTTGATTTTTCTTGCTTTGGACCTTGGATCGATTTGAATACGCGTTTTGCGTTCGTAGATAGTTTTCTCCGTCATTTGACTCTGATTTGTGATTTGTTTGTAATTTTTCAGTAATTTTATCCCCTTTTGTGGTACGTTTGTCGATGCAGTCAGTTTTGTTCGTATTTTTATTTTATTCGAGCGTTAGCTATGTTTTTTAACTGTTTCTTTTTATGATCATTGTGTGATCTAAGTGTCTAGTTTTTGTGTTAATAGTTATAGAAAAATGTCCTAATTATAATTCAGTTTACGTTTACAATTATGCTTATAAATCTTCATTATAATTCTAAATATTTTCTATTTTTAATAAAACTAGCGACTTTATATAAAAATTTATTTACTTTATCGTAATTTAATATTATCTTATATTACCAAAAAAAACATTGTATTATTGTTTTATGATTGTGGGTACTAATAGTAAAGAAAACCAACCCAATAGATTTAAAGTGGGGGTATTATCATTAAATAAATGTTAATAAAAAATACACCGATGCATTGTAGGAATAGATAAAGAATATATTATAAGAGGAAACAAAATTATATATAATTTTTATATGAAAAGAGAAATATTAATTAAATAATATAAAATAACATAATTTAAATATATAAAAAATGAGATAGAAATTATAAAGAAGCGAAAAGGGTGAAATTAGAAAACGAAGAACATCTAGGTTTTACTTTAAATGTGAATTATAGAAAGTGAATTATAGAAAGTGAATTATAGAAAGTGAATTATAGAAAGGGAATTATAGAAAGTGAATTATATTTTTAGAAAATACTTTTCGTTGTTTGAATGCTGCAATGTAAAATATTTTCCGCAATTTGCTTTTTTTTTTAAACAATTTTTAAAATTAAAGTAGTAATTTGAAAATATTAAATTTAAATAAAAATGAACTAAAACAGAATTATATATATAATATTATTTAAATCATTATAAAATTAAAATCAAGCCTATACATAAAATTTATAGATGACTAAACTTAAAGTTTACTATATAAAAGTAGCCAAATTTTGTTTTTTATCTCTGAATTTTGTTAACTGCACAAAAAAAAAATTAATTCTCTTTTATTTTATTTAAAAGACCATGATGAAATACGTAGCCGTTTTTCTTTTTCAACTTAATTTTCTTTTAATATTTTTGTGTCTTTTTTTTCCTTTTTCTTTTATCTTTGTTTAATCGATGACAACATTGGTTGCCTACCGCCGTGAAATATTAGTTCTCTTATTTTTTATTTTGTGTTTTTTATGTGTTTTTTCTTGTGTCTTTTTACTTTTAATTTTTTTTAATTTTGAATAGGAATCTTTATCCTTGTGATATGTTTTTTCTCTGCTCTTGTGGCACATGTTTCCTCTAATCTTGTGGCAAGATCCTCATGGTTTTCAGTACTTTTTTTTGTATACCTTAGCGGTCATTTTGGTTCTCGCACAAAAATCATCACGACATTTATTTTCTGATTAGTTAGTCAGAGGTCACGTATAGTCAGATCCCCTCTTTTGGTAAAAGGTTGTTCGCCGATGCAATTAGAATTGTATAGCGAAACAGCCTGCTAGATTATTTGGTTTGCTCTCCTCACCTTTATCACTTCGCCAAGTGTAACATCCTCAATACCGGTTTAGTGATTAAAGTGTAAGATTTTAAAATTCAATGATCAAATTAGATAAATTGAAAAGTGAAGGAATTAATTAAAAGATATTGATGTAGGATGAATTAATTAGTGAAGGAGAAGTAAAAGGTTAAAAGAGTCATTGAGCAAATAAAAGAATAAAATAATAATTAGTGGGTATTATAATACCCATGTGATTCATAAGTGAGGAGATAAGTTTCCAGAGACTTATCTTCTTCATCTTTTTCTCCCAAACGTGAAGCACCCAAGCCTAAGGTAAGTTTGATTTCTTTTCGTTAATCCTTTAAATTAAAACATGGGTTTTATTCATGAAGCTTTAGGAAAGATGGTGGAGATGAAAAAGGTCATAAAAACTCAAAGATTTGTAAGTTATGAAGGATTAAAGATAGGAAGTAGATAAGTGAAATTTTGAATAAGGATGTATAAATGGATTTAGAAGTTGAATTTGACTTGTAATGGGCATGAATAATAAGTTATAAGTGTTAGAAATAAGTTTGGATTACATGGAAATTTTGGTATGATTCTTGGTTTTAAGAATTTGAATGAGATATGGGAGATAATAAAGTGTTGGAATGATAAAAGTTAGTTAAAATGGTTGTAGTTGAGTTTAGTGGTATGAAAGGAGTTTTATATGAGGAAATTTAATGAAAAGTTGTGGAATTTTCTGGTGAAACCAATTTATTTATTGACATGTGCATCGATGCACTATGAATGGGCACCGATGCACTAAGATCAAATTTGAATGTGCATCGATGCATTAAGGGATGCATCGATGCATGGAAATTTCGAACCTAATTTGGGTACCGATACACCCATAGTGCATCGGTACACTCTTAAAGGAAATTAGGAATATGAGTTTATTAAATTCATTTAAGTTATTAGTATCGAATTATAAGGTTTAGGCTTCTTATAATTGTCTTGAAAATTATAATTATGTAGATATCTAGCCAAAACGAGTTCTAGAACAAGTGACAAGTAAGATCGATTGAGGAAAAGACAAAGAGATATAGGTGAGTGCATATGCATAGCATGAATATAGTATTATATTCAGTTCTAGACTTGTGATAAGTCTAGATTCAATATTTTGATACATTATGACATTTCATATTATGATACATGACATGAATTCATATCATATGTATTATGTGACATGAATATGCATGAAAAGTTATA